GTTGGCAGTGGTCTAAAGTCCATGAGGCTAGTTTCAATGAGGTTAAGGCCTTGCTTACATCCAATGCGGTATTAGCTCATTTTAATGAGAAGCTGCCAGTATGTCTGGCTTGTGATGCTTCCCCCTATGGTGTGGGGGCTGTGCTTAGCCATTTGACAGCTGATGGGACTCAGGTCCCTGTGGCATATTATTCTAGGACCTTATCTGCTGCTGAGCGTAACTATGCTCAAATTGACAAGGAGGCCTTGGCTATTGTGGCTGGAATTAAAAAATTCCATGATTTTATCTATGGCCGCCCTTTTACGGTCTTTACTGACCACAAGCCTTTGCTGGGGTTGTTTACTACGTCCAAACAGACCCCACACATCCTTTCCCCTCGCATGCTGCGATGGTCCATTTTTTTGTCAGCTTATGACTACTCGCTAGTTCACAAACCTGGAAAGGAAATGGGTCATGCTGATGGCCTAAGTAGATTGCCCTTGCCTGCTGTGGAGCCTGCTCCTGCTTCTGCTGTACACATATTGTCCATTCAGGATTTGCCGGAGTCTCCCCTTAACGCTAGGGATGTGGCTGCTGAAACTGCCACTGATCACACGCTTAAACGCGTGCTGACATGGGTGCTGTCAGGTTGGCCTGACAGATGCCCAGAGAGGATTTCCAATGTTTTTAGGTCAAGAGGCACGAGTTGTCCACGTTCAATGGCTGCCTCCTCTGGGGTTCGAGAGATGTGATTCCGGCCTCCTTGAGGTCGAGAATCTTAGTTTCCTTACATGAGGGTCACCCGGGGATTGTCAGGATGAAAGCGCTTGCGCGCAGCCATTTGTGGTGGCCTGGCTTTGATAAAGCCATTGAGGCCCAGGTACATGGGTGTCATGCGTGTCAGCAGTCCAGGCCGGAAATGCCTCAGGCCCCTGTTCATAGGTGGGAGGAAACACACACTCCATGGTCTAGAATACATATAGATTACGCTGGGCCCTTTCAGGGGCAATTCTTCCTGGTTGTTGTAGATAGCCATTCCAAATGGCTGGAGGTTGTGCCTGTGTCATCCACCACTACTGCTAAGACCATCCAGGTGTTGAGAAGCATTTTTGCTGCCCATGGTCTTCCAGATGTCTTGGTATCGGATAATGGTCCTCAATTTACTTCTGCTGAGTTTCAGGTTTTCCTACAAGCCAACATGATTCGCCACACGACTTCAGCTCCGTTCCACCCTTCCACCAACGGTCTGGCTGAACGGATGGTCCGCATCGCCAAGGATGCTCTCAAGAAACTGACTTATGGCAACTGGCATCACAGGTTGGCTGACTTCCTTCTAGCCCATCGTACTACTCCGTGCACTGCCACGGGTAAGTGCCCGGCAGAACTCCGTTGGGGTCGCTGGCTTGTGACTAAATTGGACAGGCTGCACCCGGAGCGAGTAGCTTCACAGGTGTCCCATCCGCGCACACCACGGGTCCTTCACGTGGGTGATCCTGTCTGGACCAGGAATTATGGGCCTGGACACCTCTGGGTCCCGGCTGTGGTCTGCAAGGTCTCAGGACGTCTGTCCTACGAGGTGTCCTTGGACGACAGTCGCGTTCTTCGCCGCCATATTGATCAGCTGCGTGTGAGGCTGGACTCGCCTCGGTTTTCTCCTCTGCCTTCTCTGGGGGGGAGGAGGGGGGAGTGCATTCTGGGGATCAGTATCAGCAGCCAACATTGGCTGTTGAGGACACCATGGGTTCTCAACCCCCAAGTTCCGCAAGTGCTCCGAATAGGAATTCAGGGGGCAGGGGGCAAACATACACCCCCACACTCACTCCAGCCTGGGAGTCACACAGGGAGGTATCCTTGGACCCTATCACTACAGAAAGGAGCCAGGAAAATTACACCCCTTCAGGGAACAAGGAAAGGAGTTCAGAGGGCTCAGAAAGCGTCCTAAGAGACAGGTCGACCAGGTACGGTGAACAGCAGAATCCTGGCCTCCTGAGCCTTGGCGGCGAGCAGGGAGGTCAGGCAACAGTTATAGGACAGCCACAGTGTAATTCACCAAGTGTGGAAAACAATGGTGGGGACCATTCAATCTCCCCAGGTCTGAGAAGGTCGCTATGGGTCAAGGGCCCGCCCAAATACCTTGCAGATTACGTGAGGTGAGCAAGGGTTAGAGGAACCTGGACAAGAGGTCCAGGTTGGTTAGCATAGGAAAAAAGGAGTCAGGGTTCAATTATTCTCAGAACGATAGCACGGCCATTACTTTCCACACTCTGTGCATTTGATGCAAAAGTTGGCAAACACATACTCTACGAGAGGTGGCGTACATTGTGTGCGCCACATTGTTTTATCTAGGGGGGAGGGGTGTTGTGTCCTGAGCCTGCAAAAACAGGCTCGGGACGATGCAAGAGTCCCGGGCATTGCAAAAGCTGCCCGGGACCAGACTGAGTGGCGCCGGCCTTGCGCGCATGCGCGAGGCAGGAAAAGACTGCCTGCCATTAGTTGAGATTGCCCGGGGATCTGGGGGTATAAAAGGAGGCCTGCGTGCCTCTGCTCTTGTTGATTGGTAGTTGTCACAGAGTGAGAATAAAGATCTGTTTAGCAACATGCATTGCCTCTTTCGCCATTATTCTCCGGACTTAACACACATGATCACCATTTATGATCACAGAAGGCTTCTGACAAGCAACGTCAATGGGGGAAACTACATTTGCTTATCTCAGTGTGTGTAGAAGCCAAACATTACAAAGTTCAGAGTGACAGGCAGAGAGTCTGGAAATTCTGCAGGGCAAAATAAAGGGCTAGGAGTTTTCCACACGGTTTTCTTAGTTGTTCTGTGACTGCAGAGATCCTGGGCCATCTTATCATATTGCATGTGCTTTTCTTCTCAGCCTAAAGACCTTTTTCTCCATCTTTCTGTCATTTCTTTCTTCACATATTAGAATGGAAACATCCTTCCTGGTCAAACTACACAGGCTACAGCGAAGGAGATAATGTTAGGATAATTTTTAATATCTTTATTTTGTATAATTCAAGAAAGAATTGATCGTGAGCTATACCTTTCACATGACACTCATCTAGCATGCAAACTCAGGTTTTATTTTTCTGAAATACAGTCACTTAACTCCCTTGAGAACAGGAGGGGTTACTTCAACATCTTCTATCTATGGGATGGGCTCCTAATGAACTATACCTGTACATGCAGGGTTGTCATTATTTGTTCATTATCCTATTGAACTATGATATAATGCATTCTGCTGAGCTTGAACAGTCATTGCCAATCAGATATGGGCATATTAAGTCAGAACATGTAAGGACTTCCTGATTTCTATGTTCATGCAATCATTAAAAGACATCCATATATATAAGAGGCAAGACAACACACACCTCTGGCTCAGAAAGAGAGAGAGAGAGCTGGCAAGGCAAGATGAATCCTTGGGCTGGTTTCCACCTGATTTTTTTCCTGGTTGCTAGTTCTGTGGAGGGACAAGTCTCAAATGATGGTACTGGAGGACTCCAGGACACTGAAGCCACTTGCTGTGCACGTGAGTCCCAGCTGTGTGATCTTTCAGCTTGGTTCTTAGCCTGAGTGGGATGTCTGTGTGCAGGAGCAGAATGTTGGAACTTAGTTTCCCAATAAAGCCAGTTCACGAGAAAAGGAATACTTGCCTCACATTCTTTCTTCTGTTCACAACTACTGTGAGAAACCTAGACACTGCTGATTAGCAGTTTTGCAGGTAAAGAGATGGCTCAGGAACCGTTAAGGGATGGAATCTGGCAGTAGTGAAGTTCTGCTTCATAAGCATTTCTTGAGAATGCTGATGGGATTTAAAGATTGGAGAAAGTTGAGTTGCGATGCTCTTTGAGGGAAACGAGCCCCTTTAAAAGAAGCAGTTTTTAATAATCAATAAGTTGCTTTATAAATGAAAATTATAGATTTAAAGGTTAAATTGGAATATTGATGGGAAACTAAAAATTGGGGAAAAATTAATAACAGGATATAGATTTTTTTACGAAGATTGAATGTAAAAAATAATTAAGATACGTATAAGCTAAAATGTATTGATAAATGTAATAATGATGTTTTTACTGAGTTGATATAATAAGAACTGTATTAGTTTAAATACGAGACAGTAATTGTTAAGGGAAAAAGAGAGGAAATATTTGATGCTGTAACTTGAGATTTGTACTAAAGATTTTGTTATCGCACTATTGATTAACCCAGCCACCACATTGCTTTTTAAATACTTAAATGTAAAATTGGAAAATTAATAAAATATTATAAAAAAGAAAAAGAAAAGACTTTGTAATAGCCAAATAAGAATGGGTTTTGGACTAGTACAACCCATTAACCACAGGCTGAGGATCACTATGATACTGTACATATCATTTCCATATATCAGCATTCGCCAATATGTACCCTCTAAGTGTGGAACTCAAACTCCCATCATCCTCAGCCAGCAAACACAATAGTACTAGAGATGCCTTCTAGGGTTCACCTTTTTCCCTGTAATTATCATGGTGGTTTTTTTTGTTTAATCGCTTTTTACAAGTTATCTCCATTAGTTCATTGCATTACAATAAGCATTTATATTTCTACAACAGAGATTATGGTATTTTCACACTTGGGAACCCTCCACAAAGGTCAACATCTGTCCCAGATATATATTTTCAGAGCAGAACTTGCCTGAACTGACCCACCCAACCCTCCCTATTCTTTCTCTAGAGACAGAAGCCAGAAACTGCAAAGACCTCCTGGAACGTGGGGAGACCCTGACTGGCTGGTACACAATCTACCCAACCAAGGAGAACCCGATGCTGGTTTTCTGTGACATGGAGACAGATGGAGGAGGCTGGTTGGTAAGCTGGAGGGGGAGGAGGAGGAGGAGGAGGAGGAGGAGGAGGAGGAGGAGATAATTATTTACTTGAACATATCAAAACAGAAGAGCAAGAAGCCCAATAAAGTGGGCTCCATGCTCCATTTTTGTTGCAGAATAATAGCAGCTGTTGAGGGGCCCATTAGCCTTCTCTCTTGTCAAGAGACTAGTGGTGGACAATTTGCAGCCCCAAAGTTTATTGAAACCCTCTTGGGATTTGAGCCCAAGGCAGCTTGAAGGTACACTTTCCTGTTATTGTGAGATTGAACAAACTGGAAGCCCTAAAATGGAGCTATCACAGCTCCCAATTCTGTCCATATATGGGATTGGCATTTCCCACTTTGTGGCCCATTGGGAGCCCTCCCTCAGGAAGCCAGCAAGGGAGAAGAACAGCCCTGCCTAGCCTTATTTGCACTTTCCCTTCTCTTGATAACAAGAGAGCTCAGAAGAGAGCCCATCATTGGTAGCTGCAGGGCCATCCAGACACCGACCACTGCCTCCATTCCTTGCAGGGGAAGTTCATCTATTATTCATCTATTATTCCAGTCTGAGTAGGGAATCTTGGGGGAGGAACAAAAAGTTAAGTTGGCATCTTAACTATTTGTAATTTCACCAGCAGACATCTCTGTCTCTGATTTTTTTCACCTAGCTTGGAAATATCCATATTTGCATCTCTCCTGCACTCCTCCCAAGGTCTGCCAGGATTCTCATCTCTAGCAATAAATTTATCACAAAATCTTTATATTAAATAAATTAGGCTGATTGAGTCATCTGTCTAAACCAGGGGTCTTCAAACTTGACCCTTTTATGACTTGTGGACTTCAACTCCCAGAATTCCTCAGCCAGCGTGCCTGGCTGAGGAATTCTGGGAGTTGAAGTCCACAACTCATAAAAGGGCCAAGTTTGAAGACCCCTGGTCTAAACTTACATACTGAGTTTCATGGATCTATGTGGGAGTCTTTGTTCCTCGCCCCAAAATGCTCTAATCGCCACAGCAAACTAGGCATGTTCTTCATGTATCTTTTCAGCATAGGGAACAAACTTTGGATTTGTTTATTGTTTTGTTGATTTAAAACATTTAACTGAGAACACCAGGGTGGTTTTTTTTTAACCCAATGGGCAGCAGGTTAATTTTTGGGGATGATATAAAATATACCTATTTCCAAGACTTGAGGCATTAAAATAGTTTTTTAAGCAGCAAAATACAGTGACATCCAGTCTCAATTGCTACCTAACTATGACGTAGACTCAATTCTATTCCTTTTACAAAACCAGGCTGAAAGGCAATCCCCCACTGGCGTAAGATTAGAAAAGCAGCTTCTCCATCAAGCAGATGCTGAGGTATCACTCCCTTTCTCTCCACCAGCTCTTCCAGAGGCGGCAGGATGGATCTGTCAATTTCTACCGTGACTGGGAATCATACAAGAAAGGATTTGGAAGACAAGGATCAGAATTCTGGTTGGGCAATGATAAGATCCATCTTCTCACCAGCTCTGGTAAGCCCCAAATCCTCTCTTCTACCTGATACTCAGTTTGATATTTTAAATCCATTTATCTAGACATTGCTTATCTTTATCAAAATTAATCTTTAAGGAAAGATGAGTATCAATCTTTCCAGAGTCAGCCCTTCAATAGTACCAGAGGCTCTCTTTGCATCACAGGAACAGAGTAAGCATAAAGCAAACACTCTGATCTGTTTGTGTCAATTCATAAGACTTAACTTCCATTTCCTTCCATAGAGATGAATGGTATATTCCAAATTCATAAATCAAATCTGGGTAAAACAGATGTTCTTTCCTGTAATTTGGAAATTGTCTTGGAGCTTTATGCAGCATGATTCCCCAAGAGGGTTGATCACTAACAGAAGAATAAAATGTTAGAATCAGAATATAATAATAATAATAATAATAATAATAATAATAATAATAATAATAATAATAATAATAATAATAATAATAATAATAATAATAAAAAATTTGGAAGGGACCTTGGAGGTCATCTAGTCCAACCCCCTGCTCAGGCAGGAAACCCTATACCATTTCAGACAAATGGCTATCCAGTCTCTTCTTGTCTTCTTTTTCTGGGGGACCAGGACATCGAGCAGCAATCAGTATTTATTTATTTATTTATTTATTTAATTACATTTATATCCCGCCCTTCTCCTTGCGGACTCAGGGCGGCTAACAATTGGATAAAATACAAACATATAATACACCTATTAAAATTAATTAAAAAGAAATATTTAAACTAATCTGATTAAAAGTAATTAAAACCCCTTTAAAATCCCTTAGGCCAGTCCCGCAAGCTGG